GTCTTTCGGGAACTAGGCCAAATCTTGTGCATAGCCTTGACGATTATCCGAAATCTTTAACCAAGGTTGTGCTTGGATATAAATCTTGATTGGACAAATTCAATCACAACTCAAATTTAACTCAACCTCACTCTCCTCAATATTATCAATAAAATTAAATAATATCAATCAATCATCATTACATATCACAACAACTTTAATTCACTATTCATTCATTCCATTCAGATAATTTTAATTGTTCATCACTCTCAATCACATCTCTCCTACATTTAAATCAAATCAACTTTAATCAATATAAATATTATTTTGATACAAACTCAAGATCCCACTCAAACTGTCAAACCTAACCCAACCAACTTTTTCAAAATTAACTCTGATTAACGAAAAAAAAATCAATCAAAACTCAACTTGTTTTTATATATCCAAGCACACCCCAAATATCCCGGAAAAAATAATGATATTCCACACATTATAAGAGACTAAAATGTTTAAAACTACACATCATAACATACCAACCATTCTTTGTGTCCTTGCCAGCCATCTTGATTGAGCCTCTTAACAGCTATAACCAAACCAATACCCGCCTTTGTTGCCGTTAGCGTATGCTCGTCAACCCAACCTTTGAAAATCGAACCAAAACCGCCTTCCCTAATGACACTGTCCGGGTGGAAGTTCCTTGTAGCCGCCTTTAGATCACCGAACGTGAATGTCTTCATGTTGGAAAACTCAAGTATTTCGCCTTTGTTCTAGAAGTCATGGGCCCCGATACCGAGGAACTTTTGCTGCTCGAGTAGCTTGACTCGGGCCCATCTCCACTCGCCATTTTCGACGATGGAGTCAAACCTGAATTTGGAAAAAGAGTACTATGAGTACAGGCAATGAGATTTGCACGTACACACGATTGAAAAATGTTATCAGCACGAACAATTTCCAATTCTCTTAAGCTTTTTTTTTTCTTTTCAACTTAATGGATGTGAAGCAAGAATGTAAATGGAGCTCTCAATGAATGACTTGTTTTTAAGGGGAAGAGAGCTTGTTTATTTGAATGTATTCAAATACTCTCTAAAGCCATCTCTAAAGACATGATCTGGTTTGGTTAAGTTAATTATACCGTTATATTGGATTTCAAGATTCG